TTGGGACAGGAAGCAAGCACCTCAGGGCAGATCTAAACTCCTTCTCGTCCATCTCAGATGCATCCAACCCTTCTGCAAAGGACGAGAAAACGTCCCGTTACCCCCCTTTTATCCTCGTGCTTCTCAGCAAAAGTTTCGCCCTCCTTGTCCTTGTTATCGCCTCCTGCACGCAGCTGAATCTGCACCATGGGGCTCGCGCGATACAGACTGCAAGAACGCCGACAGAACCCAGAAGGATCGAAGAATGGTCGAGATCGCGTGTTGGTACCTGAAGGAGAGACAAACAGGCATCTTGACCCGGAAGCATAAGATGCACTGGATCCTGATGCTGCTGATGCTGCTGATGCTGCTGATGCTGCTGATGCTGCTGATGCTGCTGATGCTGCTGATGCTGCTGATGCTGCTGATGCTGCTGATGCTGCTGATGCTGCTATCACAAGCGCCATCATCGCTGTCAACGCCACCGTCGTCGTGCAGAAACCCACCATTGTTTTCAGGAGCGGGCCGCCGATCCCCCCTCATCCCCCATCACACCCTGTTTTTGTCCTCATCCCCCTTCGTACCCACCCTGTTTGTCAACTTCCTGGTCAAACTCTTGATGTTTTTTTTTCGGTCGAAGGCGCCAAAACCGAGGTTTGTGGCTTCATGGCAGCATGAAGGAGAGCGAGAAGGAGGAGGAGGGCAGGAGATGAGGGAGGGAGGGGGAGAAGCTGTAGGGAGAGAGGATGGGTAGGAAGAGGGGAGGACTTGATAGAGGATAGATAATGAAGAATTAGCGTCTCATTGGCCATTGGACGAGATTCCCGCCCCCTGAGAGCATACGCCTCTATTCATCAATTTGAAACCAGGATTGATTCTTTGAAAAGCAGCGAAATCTTCCTACCTGTCAGAAAACCGTCCAAGCATTTCATGGATGATTCAACCAATCCCGCCTTCTTGGCTCCGATGCAGGTGCCAATGATGTAAGCTCTGTGATGATCAACTTATCTCCTACTAGTTGCTACGGCCTTCGTCGTGCCACACATACCTTGAGCCAGTGCCTGAGACTCTCGAGGCGCTTCGGAATGTAAACTCACCCATCTCGGTGGTGACTGGCGTCGGACCTCAGAGGCTGGGCAAGTCGACCCTGTTGAACCTCTTCCACTCTCGGAGCACGGGAGGGTTTGGTCTTGGCCATTCTCTCGATGCCCAAACCACAGGCAGCATCATCTCCTTCATTCATCCTTGCCATTGATCCAAGACCAGGTATCTGGATCTGGCTTCGAAGACATCCAAGGGCTCCGGAGGTGGTTGTCTGCTTCGGTGAGCTCGTGGTAGTGAAGGTAGTTTCTGTGACTTGCTGCCTGTCACAGCGGATACAGAGGGATTGGACACACCTCATATCAGTCAATCATACAATTGGATGCTCAGCTCTCTTGCGCTGTTGATATCGAATGTGTTCCTGTACCAGACAAAGAGCTCGATCGATAGCACTGCAACAGAGAAACTCAATACTATTTTGGCAGTTGCTGAACAGCTTGGAGCGAACACAAACGAGTCAAACTCCAACAGGCCTGTGTTGTAAGTTGATTTCTTGGCGCACAACCACGTGACCATCAATTTGCAGTGTGTGGATATTGAGAGATATGCAGCTGCAGATGCGGCACGACCCCAAGTCAGAAATGTGTAACAAATTAGAAGATGTCCATCTGCGGAAACTCAGACAGGTGTTTCGAGAATATGACTGTGTTCCACTTCCCCGGCCGGTCGACTCAGAGGCATCATTACAAGAGGTGGACCAGATGGAGTTCAGTGAACTCAAAACAAACTTTGTGGAAGAGTTCTACATATTGGATCGGCTCGTATTCAAGCACGCAATGACTCCACCTTCGATTGGGACGAATCAAATCAACGGTGCTGTACTGGTTGACTTGATTGTGAAATACACAGATCAGATTGCGACCAAGAGTGGATTACTGATGTCCATTTCCGAGATTCCTACCCAGGTATTTAAAATCTGACAAGCAAGAAAGAGTGATCCAACGTTCTGTAGGCTCAAATCATTGCAAAGATCGCCAGGGAACGTGCACACAAAGCAGCTCTCGACACGTATATCTCCAGCGTCAAAGATTTGCAAGCCCGTCTGCCACTGCCATTGGAAGAACTATACGCCTTGCATCGAGCGGGGCTGCAGCAATCCTTCGACGTCGCACGAAATCTGGCTGTTGGAGTGGATCCACAGGACATGCAGCAGCTCGTGCAGGACTTGCAGGCATATGCTTGCTCTCTAGACCTATCTCTCCAAATATCAGTTGACGTGTCAGATCAGACCAAAGTGTTTGAGGTCAGAGAGATTGCAGAAGGGCAGCTACATGCCTTGTTACTTGAAAATCACTCCAAGACCTTTGAGAAATATACACGCGCATGGAAGGAGAATTATCTTCAAATAAGTGACCTAGTCAGGGATGAAAGCCAAGATATCTCATTGAAAAATATGATGATGAAGTAAGGTCTATGACAGATAACATGCTATCAGCAGCAAATCAACAAGGGTATTTCAGTTTGATGCAAACGATCCTTTCGAAAATGTCAAGCGTGATGAATGAAGACCGAGAAAATCTGTTGTACGCTGAGTTCCAGGACAGAATTGAAAGGTTGATTGATCAACGCCTTGATGTCGTCAATCAACAAACCAGCAACAAAATATCAGAGCTCACAAACAAGTTAAACTCCTTGTCCGAACAATTGCAAGATGTAAGATCAGGTCTTGAGGAAAGCATTGCAGAAAAGATGAATCAGGTTGAGAACGGACTCAATATGTTCCAGGGTTCTCTAAAAAAGGAACGTGAGAAGGAAAAGGTGGAAATCGAGATCAAGTTAAACAATATCTCGAAAGATTGTTCGAAGAAGATAGGATCTGTCGAGAAGGACTTGGCTGCAATGTCCCTGAGTGTTTTTGAAAAGCAGGAAAACTTTGAAAATGCTCTTAAGGACTCTATAGACTCCTTAGAGGCTAAGGTGATTCTCTGCTTGTACATACCCTTCCAATCTAACGACATGTCAGATCAGCAAGTGCCAATCAAAGGAAGAAAATGACATTGGAGAAGTAAGGAAACTGCTAGAGGACGGGCTGAATGCAGAAAGAAATGAGTTGAACGCTGTGAAAACAAAAGCAGAGGCAAGAATCAGCACTTTAGAAAGGGATATCACAGAGAATATTGAAGCGATAAGAACTAAATTTGAGAATGAGCTCGATGAAAAGATCAATACAACAGATCGCAACTTCCATAATGAAATAGAATCAAAATTCAACATGATCAATGAAATACAAGGGATGAAGATTGCAGAGCTGCAAGGAGAATTTCTAAGTTGCAAGGTATCCTATGAGAATTCTGCAAGTTCACTTTCAAGGCAATTTCAAGAAAATATGCTGGCTGTTACAAAGGACATTCAAGAACTGAGTCTCAAAATCGAGGGTGATATTCAACAGGTGCAATTGACAACTCAACACGTCGTACAAGACAGTCAACAACAAAACAATGCGACGTTGGAAGCTCAGCTACAGGTTTTGTGCGGCATGGAAACCACGTATGAAACATTGACAGAAAGTCTTGTAAAGACGCAATCGTGGTCAGCAAGCGTTCTTTCCGAAGCCATCAGTGGAATAAAAAGTCTCATGAGAATGAAAGATGTCGAGATTGACAAGAAGCTCGAAGACTCTAGTCTGCTGGCGAAAGAACAAATCAAAGAGATGGAAAAAGTGTTGAGTGAGGAGTTCTCATCAATGTACGAGATCTTCAAAGAATTGCGAGAGAGGTCAGACAAGTTGGACTTTGAGTACCAAGACATCAAGATCGAGATCTCTGAGAATACCCACAAGGTTTCTCGGCTGAAGGCAGACTACAGCCATGATATAGATCAGCACAACGATTATCTCAACTTGTTCAACAAGCGACTGGACGATATGGCGAAAGAATTCAGCGCTCAGTCTGACAGTCTAGACGTCATCAAGCTCTCAACAGGGTCACTGCAAGGTGAAATGAATCTCTGCAAGAGGAAACTTGACTCCTTAGAACTTGATTTGGACAAGTTTAGCCAGATTGCAACCCGAAATCAAAACCTCGCAGCAGAAATGAAAGATTCGTTGAATGAGTTGGTGCTGGACTTGCAAAATAAGTCTGTGCTGGAAGATCGGAGCAGGTCCGAATCTGCACGTGATAGCAAGTTGCTGGGAGACAAGGTCTTGACGTTGGAACTGGAGAGCTCGAAACTGAGGGATGAACTTCATTCCGTCAAAGTTCAGCTGAAGGCAGAGATCCAGGATTACGTCCAGCTCTCCTCCACACAACGGGACGAGGAGATGGAGAAGAAGTTGACTAATCTCGTCGAGCACAACCGGGAGGCCCTTGAGGCCCAGTCGAAGTTCCTAGAGCAACTCACGAGCAAGAAGATGATCGACATCAGCCTCGAGATGTCGGGGAGAGTTGACGGAGTGACGAACAGCCTGCTGAATGTTGAATCTTCCTTGAATCATGCGATCTATGACCTCAAGAACCAGCTCGAGTCTCTTCGTGTCATGCTGTCTCTCAACCAAGACAGCTCTAACCCTTACCTGGGCCCTTCGGACAGGCTTGGCAGAGACTCGAGGGATGCCGAAGACTTGAGGTCCAAGATAGAGAGACTTGAGCTTAGGTTGGAGCACATCGACGACCAGAATGCAAGTCATAAACAAAGTTGAAAAGCCTTGACAGGACCCAGCGGAGGCAGAGGGCGGAAAACATCAGCCTGGATGACATGAAGCTCAAGCTGACGACAGCTCTGCAACGAGATGACTTGTCGTTGTCCATATCAGACATGCATAGTTGGACCATGGCGCAGCTTCGAGACATGAAAGCAAACATCAACAAGGAGCTGGAGGCGATGTTGGAAGCACGGATCACAGACTCGCGAGTGAACTTGTCCAAACTCGATGATGTCAACTCCAAGGTCGATCGTTTGTTGAATTTTCTCAGCAGACATGATCTCGAGCAAGGATTTGCCAGCGCGTCCGATCTGGCAGAGCTCAGAGATAAAGTTGAACAACACCTCAACTCAAACCGACAGCACAAAGAGTCGTCATTGGTGGAGGCTAGCTGGAGGAAGTCCTGGGAAACTGGCTTTGACTTGTTATCGCAAGAAGTTAAGGGTATGAAGTCTTCAATGACATCCATGGAGGCCGACATTGATGCCTACGGCCAATTGATGTTGCAGGACAAGTCAGCGATGTCAGAACAGAGAGAGCAGATCAGAACCTCTTTTGATGGTTTTCTTGCTCTATTCGAGAAGGTTCTCTTGGTCTTGGAGCAGCCGCTCTGCTCCATCTTGTCTGCCATCTCTGCCTTAGAGAACAAGCTCGCTGGGGCAAAGAGAACATCAACTTCGGAGGATCTCAGTGTACCTACTGGGAAGTGGCAGAGGGAGCTCCAGAACATTTTGGAGAAGGTCGAGGCTGTTGGAAGTGAGGTATGCGAACTACAGGAACAACTGCACGGAAAGCTGAGAATTCTCGATCATGTCGCAAACCTTCTGAAGGTGACTTCCCCACTACCTGAAGCCTCCAGACCTTTCAGAGGCACTCCATCCGATGCTGACAGGAAGGGAACGACAGAGGAGTCAGGGGGAAGCTCCCCAGCAGACCAACAACCTGACATTCTGTCACGATCCGACAACGGAATTCCTGCCGGTACGTTCGACGCAATCACCGAGCTCAACACCGACATCTACTGGATACGGCGGAAACTTGAAGTTTCCAACAAGGACTGCATGATAAGGCTTGAGAACCTTGAGCACGTGGTGGAAGACAAGTTCAAAGCTGCTTCCCCCCAAGTCAGCAACTCGCTCTCGTTATCTTACATCCCGGCGGATGGCGCAGAGCGGCTGGAAAGGCTGATGTTTGATGATCACCTCAAGGCCAAGGATCGCAAGTCTGATCAGTCGGAGATCTCTCTGGTTGACGAGGTTCTTCTGATGCGGCACAACATAGAGGTGATGGTTGATTGCCAGAGCTTGCCTGCCATTCCTCGTCCTGTCTGCTGACTGTTGCTATCGTCCTCCCCCCTCCTCGTCCTCTCTCTCTCTTGTCTTGTCCTCTGCCTTCTCTCTCTCTCTTGTCTTGTCCTCTGCCTTCTCTCTCTCTCCCTCCCCCCTTCCTCTCTCTCCCGCTACCTCCTCTTCCTATCTTCTCCTCAGACCCTCATTGTCACAATTGACCTGACCGGGTGCGGTTCAGATTCTGTATGAGACGATCAGCCATGTCCAGGGCTCCTTGGAGGCGATGGCGCTGAAAGAAGCTTACAAGATCAGAGTCGACGTTGAGCCAGACATGTTCTAATTGCCATTGCGAGCACAAGTGATTGAAAACTCGCAAGATATTTTCAAAAGATCAAGACCGTTAGATTTGAAATCCTTGTTCTTGCTGTCCCTCAACGGGAAGGTATCACCTCGTCTGGTCTACCCTCTTGCCGTTTTGTCTCTTTCTAAGAACTTATCTACACTCGCAGCAAGAGCAGCTTCACTTAAACTTGCTGCCATTGCAGAACCGAGGTTGAAGCTACCGGGTCTGGCAGGGCTGGTCAGGAAGGGAGGGATGGAGATGCAAGGGCAGAAGAGGACGAGGGAGGGAAAAGGGGAGAGGACGAGGACGAGGACGAAGAAGAGGAAGGGGAGGGGGAGGGGAAGGCGAAAACGAAGGGGGAGGGAAAGGTGAAAAGGAAGGGTAGGAAGGGAAATGAGCAAGCAATATGGGAAGGAACTGGATCAAAGATTGTCTGCTATGGAGGAGAAGGAGATGGAGATGGAAGAGATAGAGGAG